AATGCTAAGACTTGCAGCCAAACACTGGGGGATGCTTAAGGAGTCTTGTGGAAAAGTGGGAGGAAAGAGAAAAGGACCTGGAAGTGACAGGAGCTTCACAAGAAGACCAACAGGATCAAGTAACCAGGGTCCAGAGGGGCTTGCTAAGACTGAAGCATCAAACAAGGACCCTGCAGGAACTAGAACCCCTACACAGATGTAGCAGATGGGCAGCTTAGGCCTCATGTGTGTTCTCTAGTAAGGGAAGTGGGGAATGTATCGGACAGGGACTCACTTGCCAGCCTTTTGACCACTTTTCTCTGGAGGGACTGCCTTGCCAGGCCACAGGGGAAGGGGACAGGCTCAGTCCTGATGTAACTTGATGAGCTGGGCTGGATGGGAAAGGGAAGTTCTCTTTTCTGAGGAAAGGAGGAGGAAGGAGGGGCAGCAAAGGAGGGTGGGACTGGCAAGAGAGGAGGGATGGAGCTTCAACAGGATGTAAATTGAATAAAAAACATTTTTAAATGCAATTCAAAACAAAATAACTTGTACAAAAATTCTTTCGAATCCCAAACCAGAAAAGTAAAGAACTTCTACTATTAGACTGTCACTTTCAAAGTAAACTTATCTTCAACTAGAACATAATCTTTGGTACTAAATCAAGAATCTTCAAAATAAACAGTTGTAAAAGTCAGTCTAAGCCCTAAGTTACTAAACTTGAGTTGTTCAATCAATCTACGTATCAAATAATTATATAAATAATTTTGTTTAAATGTTCATACTAAAATACAATTATTAGAAGTTGCTAACAACAAAAAGCAAACAAACATGGTTTTATTTTACTTCCCTTTCCTTATGTAAGTTTTGTTTCAATGTGATTTCCATATTTAGTCTATAATATAAAAACTATGTAAAAATGTGACCTAACCTTCGTCAGAAAGAATCTGTTGCGGTATAAACTCTGCCCTCCTTTCCCACGCATAAACCATGTCAGCTGACAGGCAAGGCTTTCTAAAGCTAACAAAGGATATTTTTCAGTCCCATCCTAAAAGAGTGGATAAAGCCATACACATAAATATTTTAGTACGTCCTAGACTTACCAGATGCTAGCAGCAGTCAATAAATGCTTACTTTGCTGTGTTCTAACCTCGACAAAGACAAACGGGAAAGAAAAGAAAAAAAAAAAGAAAAACTAGCTGCTTTTTCAAGTGATGACTGATGTGGAAGTGACAGGATCCTTGGGAAAATGTAGACAAGTTGGGCTTAGGAATAAGTCAGGAAGGGCTGTGCAGTGTTTTATGAGATGGCTGGCCGTCCTCACGCTGTATGTTTCAACGTTACAAGAACCCCCACACCAATAATCTGGTGACAAAACCTACATCGAATTACTTTGATTTCAAATCACGTCTTAAATTTAGTACAAACTGTCCCTGCTCAGAACACATGTCCCTTGCATGGGAACTTGTCTGTCACCTATCAGTGTGTCTCCGCACCCCGTTAGTGTGTGGTGCATGACGTGAGCTCAGTAAACACAGGCTTCTTCTGAGAGCATGAGAAGTCACTCAAACTCACCAATGACTCACAAATGATCCTTGTGAAAAGGCACACAGATAATAAAGTTTTCCTGCTCCTCTTTTGTAAAATTCTATTTAGAGCATGTATTTGCAGAGACAAACAAGGAAAAAAATGGCTAAATATCAGGAATTGGTACCAGCCTTTATGAATTACAAAATGCAAGAAGAATGACCTTTAGAATAGTAAATTTTATTTTTAGGCTTCTGAGTTTCAAATAAAGTTGATCTTCCCAAGCTTAGTGCTTAGAATTGCCTTTCTATATTTTCAGTATATACTATATTTGTTTCAGAATCATTCA